TCCCTGACAACCTGTCTTGTTTCCTCATCTTGGCCTCCTTAGATTTGCGCTTCAAAAATTTTTGGACTGAAGGTACACTTCTTGCATTGCTAGCCCCTTTAAATTTGCCACAACTGGCACATTTTGTTTTGGATCTTGTCGCCATGATGGATACTGCGCTCTGGCACGGCCTTATTCCTTTTGAAATAGTTTTTTTTAGACATTTTTCCGGATTTTTGCATGGAGGTATCGAGGGATGACAACGCACGGGCGTACAGGACGCCGACGGCGTGCACGGTGGATGTATAGAGGGCGCCATAGGTATGTATTGATTACTCTGGAATTAGAGGCACTTACTGCAATAATGCCCAAATAGCAGTGAAGCCAGCCTCAAGCAATTTCAAGTACCTACTGCCATTCATTTTATAGTTCCTACTATCATAAAATTTACTCACCGACACATATTATGAACCGCAAAAAAGCAAAATGAGAATATTAAACTGTTTGTGTTAAATGTATGTATGATGTCATAAAAGTGTTTAATCTACTGAGTACTCACAATACTTGCTCATTATATATGGGTATATTGGGTGGTACCCAAATCTCCTTCCAGCTTCAAAATTTACACTAAGGAAAAAGATATTAGAGTTAATGTTTTTGATATTGATTCCATCCCTCTTTAGTGACGATGTCCACAACTTTGTACAAAAGTTCAATGCCTGTTTAGTATGTATGTATAGGTACAATACGATTTAAAACTAAAATACGCAAGTATATCGCCAGCTTGAACACATCGCATTTGAACTTTTGTATGTTTTATGAGTGAGATTATACTAAAGTATGAATGGCAGTTTATATTGTAAGAGGCTGGCTTCTTCATATTCGGATAACTAGTACAGCAGGCTTTTTTGTACAAAGCTGTCAACAACACTGTCTACCAAACAAAGACATTAAAGTATTATTAAACACTTTGCTACCAAACTATAGTATAGGTATAACAGAAAATAATTGTTTGTGGTCAATCACTTACCCATATTACTTTTCGAGAGATTTGCACTTGGGTGGTCTAATAATGAGTGGTTAGAAGTGATGCATTTGGGAGTATAATTGATTTTTATTTATTTTACACCGAGAATTTACATTTCTTGTGATCTTCTATTTTTCAATATTGACATTTGGCGTTTATCTTCTTTTTATTTCAGCTCTCATTCTACATTGTCAGTATAATGTTAGCCATAGATATCTTACGAGAAGTATGCTACCTATAAGCTAAGGGTAGCAAGATTCTTCGTCCTAGCCTATAAGAGCCATAGAGCAACTCGGAAGGGAGTAGACTTATACTATACAAATCATGTTGTCATTTTTTGCGGAGGGAATATAAACACAAATGGTTTAACTTACACGCATATAAAACAAAACTGTAATAACGACACTCAAACATTAACAATGACGACACAAATATCCGCCAAATACTGCATACATGTATCGTTTTTATGCCCGACTCGACAGAGGAGAAAGCTTTGTATGGCTACTCCCATCCTGACCGCGTCGGTCGTGTGGCTCTATGAAAAGAGCCTACAAATGCATTTAAATCGTGACTATGCATTAATGCGTTAACATTTAAATCTATACTAAACAATAAGAGCGTGATTCGTATTTTAAAGGTTGCCCATTCCACTATATAGTCTATCTGGACTGTAATTTAGTTTTAGAAATCAATACATGCTGCATAGTTTATTTATAGCATGATATTTTGAAAGGTTAATATTTTACTCGATAAATCGTCAACATTAACAGCCAAAAGTACCAGGACGTCTATTCATATGATTTTTTTATGTCTGGTAAAGGCCTAATAGTCATCATCGCAAACTTCGATGAATCCTTTTTTAATTGGAAGATAGATATTTCAATTTGACTTGAGGGATTGGGGGGGTCACATCCTTAGGACTGTGTCTGGGTCATCCGGACACGCACTTTGAAGACCATGGTCCCCAAGATGCGTACCGAGTGTCGGTGTAATCGTGTCATCCCATTAGAACTGACCTGTTAGGTCCGGCAACGGACCCCTCCCGATGAGCGGTGCCCCGGACTATTAGGGTTAACATCCCAACCCAGGACTGGTGCAATGCAGACCCAGTTGCTCCCACAAAGGGCTCCCCGAGAGCCACAATTTTATTTTTTATTTAATGCTTAATAGGCAAGGCGTTTGACCACAATCTAAGATGCTACACGCCTGCCTAGAAGATGTCTGTTCACTCTAACCTTGAAGATGTCTAGATTATATTGGTCCGGAAAGACAGACCTCGACAAGGAGTTCCACTCCCTTGCTGTTCGCATAATGAAAGCGGAAGCAAATCGCTTTGTGCGAATGGGAGGAACTTCGACAGCATAAGGGTGAAAGCCCTTGCCGCGGCTGGTCGTCCGGTGGCGAAAGGAGAAAGGGGATCAAATTATCTAATACTTCCGCACACTCTTCGAAATGTAACCGATAAAATACAGAGAGGCCAGCTACACGTCTTCGGTGGTCACTGCTCTGGAGAATAGCCTCAACGAAGACTCCACAAGAGGGCTGCTGGGTTGACGTACACCTCTTCTTCCTTGATCCAAAAAAGGTTATTGCTTCTACTAATAAGATTATGTAGTTCTAACATGCCGTACCTTTACCTAGTACCTTTTACTACCTTGAGCTATTTTTTGACAAAAATAAGATTACAAGCAGCATCATGGATCAATAATCATTATTTTCGACGGTAGCCGGTGCATGCCAGCCCTTAAAAATTTAAGTTATTATTGGCTCATCTGTACGTAAAATCTTAAATCATCTCATTATTAATAAATCAGCTATACCCATAAAGATAAATTAGTTCAGTCAGTTAATTATAGTGCAAATAAAATAATTTTGTTCAATCCCACTAATGTGTATAAAGTACACGACTGAAAGGAGATTGCTCAAATTGGACCAAATGCACAAAAAATATTGACATACACGGTAATTCTTGGCGTAATTTATAATTTAATTTACAGTCATTAGATTTCAACAGACACCTTTGTATAATATATTTACTTTAAAAAGGACTTTTAATTTTACCGGTTTGGAAAACATACAAATCATTTTTAATGGCTATGGGTGTAGTAACATTCAGCCAAAGACTGATCGAAGTTGTTTATATAACATAAAAACAAATCTATTTTGTAAAGATCGATAAAATATTTTTTGAAGTTATACTTCTTTAGGCGCGTTATGAAAAAATGATGAGAGTGAAATTTTAAGATGCGCGCGCATCACTGTAACACAAAAATTAACAGCATGAACTTCATGCTGTTACTTTTGTGTTTACCGCACATTAAGAAAATTTACCAACAAAATAGAAATAGAATCTCTATTTACTGGGTGCTAACGACTGCATTGAGAAGGCCTATCAAAAGTATTTATTAATCTGGAACAACGGAACCAAAGCGCGATTCAGGAGACTACAGCGCCATCTCTTGACCATTGGTGTAGTAGAACCAAAAACCACATCTTTATTTTTTGTAATAAAGTAACAGTTACAGGTATTCATATTTATAATATCAAAAGTATTTATTAATCTGGAACAACGGAACCAAAGCGCGATTCAGGAGACTACAGCGCCATCTCTTGACCATTGGTGTAGTAGAACCAAAAACCACATCTTTATTTTTTGTAATAAAGTAAAAGTTATAGGTATTCATATTTATAATATTTATCCACATGTTTCTAGTTTGTATATTCGGAATACGTGTTTGAGTTTCATACAAGTGCAAATCACATATGTTCTAATAAATTATATTCAGTAGCGATTTTAATTGAATATTTTGATTATTTATTTATTTTTTCAAATTAAAACTGAACTTTATTGACTGTGTCCTTTTCCAGACTTTTTATTAATTTATTGTAATTAATTATTTGCATGCATTTAAAAACTAATTTTGCGACTTATTTTAACGATGCCAAAGAAGGATAACTTCTCACGCGCCTACATAAGTACAAGCACCCATTTTTTTTTATTACACTGTGGTATTAATATCCACAACTATATTATCATTTTCACAAGATGCAAATGTGCTCAGACAATTATTATAGATTGTAGGCGACATCATAAAGTCTATTGCCATACATTTTTCGCCAAACACCATAAACACATTATAATCTGTATATATAATATGTTAGACTTTAAGGTATCTATCTATGGGCCTACGTTCCCTGACTATAAATTAATAAATAAATAAAATTATAAGGTGTGATACACTAAAAACTAAAATATGGTTATCTTAAAAATATAACAAAAATAATGAAGCTGCTGAATATATATATGGCTATAGAACCTAAATCTCTTAGCTTTCTTTGGTTAACGAGAGTTTAAAAATTCTGTCTAATCTGTGGCTCATTCACAATCATCACACAGTTTCTGCCACAGAGTACCTTATTATAACCAGAAATGACACCTGACTTTAAAAGTTACTCTTATGCATTAACTATGATTAACAGATAGTTGCCTGTTTTTAATCTATATACCTGAATCTAATCCATAATTTCTGTACTTGGCTTGATTTCCCTAGTTTACTATATAACTTATTTGTTTTTTATTATTTTAATATGTTCAGTGTATATGGTTTATAGAAGTTCTCAGGGGTGTCCGTCAATAATATTCGTTTCTACAGTAATTTATATATAATTTCGAATCTAGGAAACAATTTTTCATGATTATCGGTCTTTAGGCCAAACATGTATGGAAGCTGAGCAATCTCCTTTTTAATTGCGTATTTTTCCCAATTTAGATGTAGGTATTTAAAAACTGTATAAGCTTATAACTTATAGGAATAGGATTTAAGAAAGTTCTTAGACCAAATTAAAAAATTAATGTATGTACTTAAATTACAAATAAAACGACATTTTAACATGTGCCTTTTATTTAAAGCCATAGATACATTGTTTGGATAATAAATAGAATATGAATATTTTAATTTATATTATTAAACTATCATTATTATTAACAAAATGTTCGTTTCATTCAATCTTTTTAAACAATCTACTTTTTGCAGTTTTGGTTTAAATATAAAACCTTTATGACCCGCATTTGATTTTTAGTTTGCAAATTGACTTTTCATGTAACTAATACAATGTGTCAAAATGGCCATTATAGCAAATGAAACCTGACTTGTACAAGAACAACATTGTTTTTTCTGTAACATTAAATATTATGTTATTTATAATTATATAATGCTGTCAGTGTAAGATCTATTTGTTTATTTTTGAGATACTAACTGAATAGAAAATTAAAAATTCTTTGGCAAAATAGATCCGTGCAACAAAAGCATAATTGATATTATTATAATGCTTTGTAACATGGTTAACTAGGTAAACCTTAGGTAACCTTTCTACATAGCACAGCTAAGTTAAAAGTGGCAATGAATATTTGTCTGTAATTATTTATAAAATACAATAAAAATCCTTTACAAATAGACTTCCGAGCCTGGGCTTCCGAAAAGCTTTGAATACATTTTCTGTAATTAATAGCATCTAATTTGATGGCGTCCTCTAAATCCACAGAAGCGTTTAAGTTCGACAAAGTAACTCGCATATTGCACCTGTAGAAATATATAGGTGTTATTTCATAATACTGTTTTCACATGAGTTCACAACGGACTTTTACAAAAACTCACATAGGAATGTATATGAAAATACATAAGAACAATAAAATATAGCTGAGTGGCTAAAACAATATAAGACAACGTAATCTAAACAGTATCAACAGTATCCATTGTTTTTTTTTTGTTAAATGTTCATATTATTATACCTAGAGCATATCACCAGTAGCGTTATCGTTGGACATATGATAATGCGGACAGTGCATTAATCTTGTTTCTTTGACGTAGACTCCTGATAAGTCGGGGGCTGATCCTGTAAAAAAGAAACAGAAGTTTATAATAAAAATAATAAATATTCTTTATTGCACACAACAAAGGACACAAGATAAATAACAAAAAAACAGAAGAAAGAGTACAATAGGCCTTATTTCTAAACAGCAATCTCTTCCAGGCAACCTATGGTAGAAATGGAATAATAATAGAGAAATATAGAAGGGTGCAAAAGTAGATACAGGAGGTATACTTACATAAATATAAGAGAAGCAAAGAAATAGGATATTAAATGAATTTAAGATAAAGACAGGAAATAACTTTTAACTTGATCGCTAAAGGAATTAAGCGAACGAGCCTCTCTGATACCTTCAGGAAGTGAATTCCAAAGTCGAGCAGCGTGCACAGAAAAAGAGTAAGAAAAGAAGTCTGAAGAGTGACAGGGAATCTCAAGAAGTAGGTTAGAAGAGGATCTCAGTGAGACACGTGGTCGAATTTACGGAGATTATATTATGAGTTTAGTTACTGAGTTAGCCAAAATGGTGTGTTGGTTTAGATTAGAAAGTCAAGCATGAGCATCACGATATGAAATAGCTCGTTTTTATCACGCTGCATTGTAAAATTACTATGTAGTTTGACAGTTAGACGCGATAAAAACGTGATCTAATATAAATTGTCGTCCTCATACTACGGGAACAGAAGCCGCAGTATCATGCCATATACCCTTTTTTTTATTCGTCCTAATTTCCTTTAAAATCCTAAGGTAGTAAAATTTTTACAAAACCTTCCTGTAAAGACACAATATTGTTATCAATTTCAACAAAATATGTTTGACTCATTTTGCGTGATTAGTTTTGGAGTCAGTAGTGAAGGTGTGACAAATGTGAGTGATATTTAATAATTTGTTACTCTCAAGCCTTTGATGCTTTGTTAACTCCAGAAGGAATGTATGACGTTAAAATATGTGTGTTTAGGAAGGAAAATCTAAAATTAAATTTTCCTATTTATAATATTAATAATATTAATCCGACTATCATGAATCGCTGAGAACGAAAGTAAAACATACAATCTACCAGCTCCTAACTATCCTGTATATGGACTGAAATTATAGTTAATTTAATTTGACTTATTTAAAGCTCTTTTCAAGCATCCAAATATTTATTCCTACCATAAAAGTTCCCTACCGTTTTATGGTAGGCATAAATATTAAAAATATAGTGTAAATATTAATAATTTAGTGTAAATTAGGAAAATTTTGTTGTAAAATGTTGCATTTCCACTTGTGCTCAGAGTAGTTCCGACCGATCAAACAAAATGTCGCTATTGTTTTATAAATAAGAAGTTGTTTTCTAGAAACAATATTATAATAGCTTGCATTTTGTCAGGACTTAAGCAATCTTGCAGGTAAAATGCTGGAAGCTAGCGGTTTCTCTGTCCTATTTTCAGACTCACCCACAAACTATTAGTAACATTTCATTATTTGTTGATTCACATCCTTATCACTTAGACAATGACGCTAATCGTGATAAACGAAATAAATATTGAATGAAGATAACTAACGGTAAAACTTTATACAGTCTAGAAAAGCAATCTACACCTCACAATAAATACATTATAACAATGGTTATTACTACTATATGTTACTTACGTTGTAAGGTGGCGGTACATAGGCGGTTTGAGGCCTATTGGGGTCGTAGTACGCACTCTGTGCCGCTTCTGCAGCTTTAGCATCTGAAAACGATTATGTTTCTACTGCACCAACTGACTTAATACAATTTACAACAGTTACTTCATCCTACTGTACTAATATTGTCAACGACAAGAGGATACACCACTTCTATTCAAGATATTACTCGTCAAACAACACACTTAATTATGATCAACTCTATTACGCTCAGCGATCTACTTCAAAGCGACTACTACTCACATAGGAGCCAGGAGCCGTTGCAGTCCTCTCACAATTAAATATAGCATTCCCGAAAAAAGACACAATTTACTTAACAATTTAATTAAAAGGTTTTAAACACATCAAGAATTTATTAAATTCAAAAATTTATTTTTACTTATTTAACTGAATTTGGATAAACGGAATTTAGTTCCCTTCCTCACCCCTAGAAGACATGCCGGCTCCCGTGGGCGGGGCGAAGCCGCCGGGGTACCCGGGGGGCGGGGCGGAGGCGTTGCCCGGGTAGCCCGGCGGAGCCCCGGGGGCGAATCCCCCACCTGCCGGCGACGCCACCCCGGAGAACCCTGTCCCGGGCGGGTAGCTAGCTCCGCCTACTCCAGGGTAGGGAGGCGGGTTGCTACTCACGAACACAGAGTTCGGTGGCGGCTGATCAGGGAAAGCCTGTAACAAACACAGATTTGGATTTCGTGTTCTTGAAGTGAAAGTAGACGGGGACAGACTGGGGATAATAATAAAATCTTTATTTCTGAACCATGACATATACAGTATAACAATTCAGCGTTAACAACCATAGTAATCTAAGACTGTGTTACAGTTATTAGCGCCCACCTCAAAAGACAGGCACATTACAGACATGATTAGAAATAAACAAGGTATTTATAATACATTACATTTTACACTGTGTGTGTGCATGTTTGTGTTTTACTTGATCAATGAATGACTCCACAGTAGACGTCAATGGACGACGGTATTAGGATTTTGATGTCGCAAAAAGCGTTACGGCCGCGTGCAATGGGTAGACGGTATATCGCGCGGTAATAGGCAACAGAGGCGCAAGAAGAGAAAGGCCTTCAATCAACAATTCTATAAATAATGGGTCAGTGCGTAAAATTTGTCTCGGTAAATATAGCCTCACTTGAGGCGTGAGATCTTATTTTAAATTAGTTCGGTTAATAGAAAACGAAGTAACTCGCTGGCCAATTACTGGTAAAAATATTTTATTTTGTGGGGTTCACTTATGAAACTGAAACTAGCAGCCGACATTCTCTTGAGACAATTTTTTTTTTTTTTTCAACTAAAGTATTAGAGTATCTTGGCTGAAATTACACCCACTATTTCTTCACCCTAAAAAGAAGTTCTGGGAAAAATTTCATCAATTTCGTATGTGTAGGAGATGAGATAAAGCTTTTTTAAAAAATAAATAATCTTTCTCCTGAGAGAAAATATTTTTTTACAACTAAACTATTAGAGTATCTTGGCTGAAATTACTTCCACTATTTCTTCACCCTAAAAAGAAGTATTGAGGAACATTTCAGCAATTTCGTATGTCTAGGAGATGAGATACCGCTTTTTAAACAAAAAAAAAATATTCTACTGAGAAATTATTTTTTTACAACTAAACTATTAGAGTATCTTGGCAGAAATTACTTCCACTATTTCTTTACCCTAAAAAGAAGTTTTAAGGAAAATTTCAGCATGTTCGTATGTCTAGGAGATGAGATTCAGGTTTTTAAACAAAAAAAAATATTCTCCTGAGAAAATATTTTTTTACTACAAAACTATTAGAGTATCTTGGCTGAAATTACTTCCACTGTTTCTTCACCCTAAAAAGAAGTTTTGAAGAAAATTTCAGCAATATCGTATGTCTAGGAGATGAGATACAGCTTTTTAAACAAAAAAAAAATATTTTCCCGAGAAAATATTTTTTTACAACTAAACTATTAGAGTATCTTGGCTGAAATTACTTCCACTGTTTCTTCACCCTAAAAAGAAGTTTTGAAGAAAATTTCAGCAATTTCGTATGTCTAGGAGATGAGATACAGCTTTATAAACAAAAAAAAATATTATCCTGAGAAAATATTTTTTTAAAACTAAACTTTTAGAGTATCTTGGCTGAAATTACTTTCACTGTTTCTTCACCCTAAAAAGAAGTTTTGAAGAAAATTTCAGCAATATCGTATGTCTAGGAGATGAGATACAGCTTTTTAAACAAAAAAATATTCTCCCGAGAAAATATTTTTTTACAACAAAACTATTAGAGTATCTTGGCTGAAATTACTTGCACTGTTTTTTCACCCTAAAAAGAAGTTTTGAAGAAAATTTCAGCAATTTCGTATGTCTAGGAGATGAGATACAGCGTTTTAAACAAAAAAAAAATATTCTCCTGAGAAAAATTTTTTTTTGAAACTAAACTTTTAGAGTATCTTGGCTGAAATTACTTCTACTGTTTCTTCACCCTAAAAAGAAGTTTTGAAGAAAATTTCAGCAAGTTCGTATGTCTAGGAGATGAGATACAGCTTTCTAAACAAAAAAAATATTCTCCCGAGAAAATATTTTTTACAACTAAACTATTAGAGTATCTTGGCTGAATTTACTTCCACTATTTTTTCACCCTAAAAAGAAGTTTTGAGGAAAATCTCAGCAAGTTCGTATGTCTAGGAGATGAGATACAGCTTTTTAAACAAAAAAAATATTCTCCCGAGAAAATATTTTTTTACAACTAAACTGTTAGAGTATCTTGGCTGAAATTACTTCCACTATATCTTCACCCTAAAAAGAAGTAGTGAGGAAAATTTCAGCAATATCGTATGTCTAGGAGATGAGATACAGCTTTTTAAACAAAAAAAAATATTCTCCTGAGAAAATTTTTTTTTACTACTAAACTTTTAGAGTATCTTGGCTGAAATTACTTCCACTATCAGTCAAGATACTCTAATAGTTTAGTTGTAAAAAAATATTTTCTCGGGAGAATATTTTTTTGTTTAAAAAGCTGTATCTCATCTCCTAGACATACGATATTGCTGAAATTTTCTTCAAAACTTCTTTTTAGGGTGAAGAAACAGTGGAAGTAATTTCAGCCAAGATACTCCAAAAGTTTAGATTCAAAAAAATTTTTTTCTCAGGAGAATATTTTTTTTTTGTTTAAAACGCTGTATCTCATCTCCTAGACATACGAAATTGCTGAAATTTTCTTCAAAACTTCTTTTTAGGGTGAAAAAACAGTGCAAGTAATTTCAGCCAAGATACTCTAATAGTTTTGTTGTAAAAAAATATTTTCTCGGGAGAATATTTTTTTTTGTTTAAAAAGCTGTATCTCATCTCCTAGACATACGATATTGCTGAAATTTTCCTCACTACTTCTTTTTAGGGTGAAGATATAGTGGAAGTAATTTCAGCCAAGATACTCTAACAGTTTAGTTGTAAAAAAATATTTTCTCGGGAGAATATTTTTTTTGTTTCAAAAGCTGTATCTCATCTCCTAGACATACGAACTTGCTGAGATTTTCCTCAATACTTCTTTTTAGGGTAAAGAAATAGTGGAAGTAAACTCAGCCAAGATACTCTAATAGTTTAGTTGTAAAAAAATATTTTCTCTGGAGAATATTTTTTTGTTTAAAAAGCTGTATCTCATCTCCTAGACATACGATATTGCTGAAATTTTCTTCAAAACTTCTTTTTGGGGTGAAAAAACAGTGGAAGTAATTTCAGCCAAGATACTCTAATAGTTTAGTTGTAAAAAAATATTTTCTCGGGAGAATAATTTTTTTTTGTTTAAAAAGCTGTATCTCATCTCCTAGACATACGATATTGCTGAAATTTTCCTCAAAACTTCTTTTTAGGGTCAAGAAATAGTGGAAGTAATTTCTGCCAAGATACTCTAATAGTTTAGTTGTAAAAAAATAATTTCTCAGTAGAATATTTTTTGTTTAAAAAGCTGTATCTCATCTCCTAGACATACGACCTTGCTGAGATTTTCCTCAATACTTCTTTTTAGGGTAAAGAAATAGTGGAAGTAAACTCAGCCAAGATACTCTAATAGTTTAGTTGTAAAAAAATATTTTCTCTGGAGAATATTTTTTTGTTTAAAAAGCTGTATCTCATCTCCTAGACATACGATATTGCTGAAATTTTCTTCAAAACTTCTTTTTAGGGTGAAGAAATAGTGGAAGTAAATTCAGCCAAGATACTCTAATAGTTTAGTTGTAAAAAAATACTTTCTCGGGAGAATATTTGTTTGTTTAAAAAGCTGTATCTCATCTCCTAGACATACGATATTGCTGAAATTTTCTTCAAAACTTCTTTTTAGGGTGAAGAAACAGTGGAAGTAATTTCAGCCAAGATACTCTAAAAGTTTAGTTTCAAAAAAAAATTTTTCTCAGGATAAGATTTTTTTTTTTGTTTATAAAGCTGTATCTCATCTCCTAGACATACGAAATTGCTGAAATTTTCTTCAAAACTTCTTTTTGGGGTGAAAAAACAGTGGAAGTAATTTCAGCCAAGATACTCTAATAGTTTAGTTGTAAAAAAATATTTTCTCGGGAGAATAATTTTTTTTTGTTTAAAAAGCTGTATCTCATCTCCTAGACATACGATATTGCTGAAATTTTCCTCAAAACTTCTTTTTAGGGTCAAGAAATAGTGGAAGTAATTTCTGCCAAGATACTCTAATAGTTTAGTTGTAAAAAAATAATTTCTCAGTAGAATATTTTTTGTTTAAAAAGCTGTATCTCATCTCCTAGACATACGAACTTGCTGAGATTTTCCTCAATACTTCTTTTTAGGGTAAAGAAATAGTGGAAGTAAACTCAGCCAAGATACTCTAATAGTTTAGTTGTAAAAAAATATTTTCTCTGGAGAATATTTTTTTGTTTAAAAAGCTGTATCTCATCTCCTAGACATACGATATTGCTGAAATTTTCTTCAAAACTTCTTTTTAGGGTGAAGAAATAGTGGAAGTAAATTCAGCCAAGATACTCTAATAGTTTAGTTGTAAAAAAATACTTTCTCGGGAGAATATTTGTTTGTTTAAAAAGCTGTATCTCATCTCCTAGACATACGATATTGCTGAAATTTTCTTCAAAACTTCTTTTTAGGGTGAAGAAACAGTGGAAGTAATTTCAGCCAAGATACTCTAAAAGTTTAGTTTCAAAAAAAAATTTTTCTCAGGATAAGATTTTTTTTTTTGTTTATAAAGCTGTATCTCATCTCCTAGACATACGAAATTGCTGAAATTTTCCCCAGAACTTCTTTTTAGGGTGAAGAAATAGTGGGTGTAATGTCAGCCAAGATACTCTAATAGTTTAGTTGAAAAAAAAATTTTTGTCTCAAGAGAATATCGGCTGCTAGTTTCAGTTTCAACAATTTATTAAAATTATATTTTTAGGAGAGGAGATAAAGGTACCTAAACTTGTCACGATAATTTTTAATATTATTTGTAATTTTGCAACGAAAAATTCTAATTTTTAAAAAATATAGGGCCCCGACCCTATCTTCTATGTTTCGTCCATGTCGGCTGCTAGCTGGTGGCTGCTAGTTTCAGTTTGATGGTTCACTTTAAATTTTCCTTTTTTCATCTTTATCATTTTTCTCAAGTATCAGATATAATTTATTTTTTTTTTAAAGGAACAAGAGTTCGTTTAATAAGATAAAAGGTCGTATGT